GGGCCTCTTTGGGTTCCTCTTACTTGGGGCTCTCTGTGCTTCCTGAACTTGTATACCTTTTTCCTTCATCAAGTTAGGGAAGTTTTCTGTCACTATGTCTTCAAATATATTCTCTCCTTGCTCTTTTTCTTCTTCATGTGCAACTTTTATGATGTGGATGTTGTTATGTTTCATATTTTTCTACACTTCTCTTAAGTTGTCTTCCTGGTTTTTACTTGTTTTTTCTTTTAGTTTCTCTGACTGGGTGATTTTTTTTTTTCTACCCTGTCTTCTAATTCACTGATCTAATCCCCTGCTTTCTCTACCCTGTTGGTTATTCCTTCCAATGTATTCTTTATTTCTGCTATGTCATTCCTTATTTCTGCTTGGGGGTTTTTAATTTCCAATTGGTTGATTTTCAGTGTTTCTATATCTTTACTCATGCTGTCACGCTCTTGACTCATGCTGTTGAACTTCCTCATTATCATTACTCTGAAGTCTACCACTGATAACTTGCTTAACTTGGTTTCATTTATCTCATCTTCTGTAAAATTTTCTTGTTCTTTCATTTGGGATTTGTTTCTTTTTTCACCATTTTGGCTGTCTCAGTGGGTTTTGGAGCCTGCCAAATTTTCCCTGTGGGTATTGGTGTTCTGCTGTTTGTGGCTCCCTCTACTGGGTTTGGATGAGTGTGGGATGATCCATGTTAAATACCACTGTCAAGTCTTGCTTTCCTGGGTGGATTTTCAATCCAAGTAAAGTTTCATTTATCCTAGCTTTTTTCTGGACGCTATTAGTCTCATTTACTTGATGAGCTTTGATTTGTAGCCCTCGGACAAATGAAAAATCAGGTGTAAGAGAATTTCCTGCGGATGCGGCAGTGGCTTGCTGTTGGACTCTGTATGTTAATGAGCCTCAATTTGCTTTTCTCTGGTTTGGTCTGGTGGTGTTGAATTCCTGAGGGTGCAGCCCTTGCTTCTCTTCAGGGCTCTGGGAAGGGGCTCTTTAAGTAATATGGCTACTGTCCTATGAGGGAGTGATTCAGCACAAAACTCCTGGTGTCCTCTTCTCCAGCTCTCTCCTGAGCCAGGAGCCTCGTACTCTCTCCACACAGTTTCAGTACAGTCTGCCCTCCCTTTTTCGGGGCACAAGGTGAGTGGCCGTAATGGATTTGTTGCTTTTTAAAACCCCTGCTTACTCTGGAAACCTCTCACAGCTAAAACAGCCCTCAGCTGCTGTTCATGGGTTTCCAGCCCACCCTTTTATGCCTCTACTGTTTCTACCAGGCTCAATTTGGCATCCGCTTTCTGTCCCTGGTTATACAGGTTCTCTCCAGCTGCTTTTCATTTGTTTTTTTCCAGATGAGTTTTCTTTATTTTAGTTGTAATTCCAGTTTGGTCCTGGGAGACGGTCTGTGTACTTTCATTCATTCTGTCGCCATTTTTCCTCTCCTCTTTTACTCTTTATTAACTTTAAACTTTTAAAAGCTTCAGAGGTCCTGGTAGAATCAAAAGCTCATTAAAATATCAAGACAGGTGAGCCTTTTCAAGTGCATATTATTTCATTTGTTTTGGTTACCATGACAAGGCCCAAAAGAAACTTAGCAGACTTTTGTAGATCAAAACAAAGGTGTTATGAGAGAAACCCTTGGCCTATGCATTGTCACCCATAGTGGAGAAAACAGCAGGCCCTATGGAGCCTCCCTCAGCAGCAGCTCTGATGGGCAGGTAGTCTCAGTGGAGAGAGCACAATTGGGGAGCTGTCCTTCCTTGCCTGCCTCCTCAGCGAGGCCTGGCTGGGCTCCCAGGACTTTTGGCAACTTTCTCTTGTTATTTTTAAAAAATGTGTCCTTTTTTTTGAAAGTACTACAGATGTCTCCCTTTTTTTTCACACATTGACCCCTTCCACCCCACTTTGGCCCCCCACCCCAGGCTTGAAGAAAGGGGCAGGGGACTATTAATTGAAAATCTAGCTTAAGGAATATTATTATAGTTCGTTGAGTAATTAAGTCTTAGCCTTGAGACAATTAGGTGAAAGAGAAGATCATGCTGGGTAACAAAACTCTTATAGTTATTTTAAAATACAAATATATGTGTATGTATGCATGTCTGTGTATATTAAAACTGTATTAATCAGTCTATGTCTTTTCTGAGTGTTGAGAAATTTTTTGTATGAGGATATTTTAGCAGAAAATAAAAATGAAGCCCCCTTTATCTGTTTTTCTGAAGTTACTTTTTATATTCACTTGAAAATGAAAATAAGTTTCAAATGTAAAAGAATGTAGTCTAACAAACTTCAGTAGTAAATTACTGATGTTGTGTTAATGTCATCAGTGTATTTTAATACTTTGCCATGTAGGATCAGTAACCTGGGATTCGTTTTTTATTTAAGTAGTATTTCAGAAACTCCACAGTCCAACAAAACAGATGTTGATTCATTATAAATGAATTAACTTACAGATATTTTTAAAAATAAGTGTAATATAGTCCTGGCAGGTTGGGCTCAGCAGTTAGAGCTTCAGCCCTTGGACTGAAGGATTGTGGGTCAAGGGCACATACCTGGGTTTCAGGTTCAGTGTCAGGCCTCTTTTGGGGTCATGTGGAAGGCAACCAGTCAATGTGTCTCTCACATTGATGTTTCTCTCTCTTTCCCTCACTCCCTTCCACTCTCTCTAAAAAAATCAATGGAAAAATATGCTCAGGCGAGGATTAACGACAACAAGAAAAGTAAATAATATATTACCATTTTTCATACAATAAGAACTAAGATGCCCTGGCCGGTTTGGCTCAGCGGTTAGAGCATCGGCCTGCGGTCCCAAGAGACCTGGGTGTGGTTCCCGCTAAGGGCATGTGCCTCGGTTGCAGTTTGTCCCCGGCCCTGGTTGGTCGTGCGGATGGCAGCCACTTGATGTGTCCCTTTCACATCGATGTTTCTTTCTCTTTCTCTCTCTCTTCCTCTCTCTCCCTCCCACTCTACCTGAACAAAAAAATGGAAAAAATGTCCTCGGGTGAGGATTAAAATAAAATAAAAAAAAAAGAACTAAAATACTTCAGATAGGTTAGGAAGAAATTGTAAGGGCCTCCTTTTCACTTCTGTAGCCCAGAAAAACCTCTTCTAACAGGTAGGTGTTTATTCTGATTATTTTATTTACTGGTTTATATATGTATATATGGAAATACATAGTTCAGTCTCCTGTGTGTTGTTCTTGTTGTTTTTTATTAACATAAATGGTTTACTTTGCATGTGTTCTGGAGACTTGGAAATGAAAGGAATGGCATATTATGACTTGCAATTTTATCTGTAGAAAGCAAGGATGGGATGTTTCAACATTAGAAAACTCCTATTAATGTAATTCACCACATCACTAAAGAGGGAAAACAAAATAATCATCTCAGTAGATTCTAAAGACACTTGATCAAGTTTAATACCTTCTCTTTGTATATTGAGACAGAAAAACATTGGTTTACTTTCTGTGCTGTACTGGAAGTAACTTTGTGTGTACACCACAAACTCAGTTCAACTATTTGAAAGATGAATAAAGAAAGAAAAGTCATCTGTGAATACTGAGATTATGCATGTATATTTTCTCAGAATCTATTTTTCTAATGAATTACATTTTTGCCACATCATAAAATGTTTTTCTAATGGTTTATTTATACTATAGAAGCAATGGTACTTTATTGAACCATTCACTCATGTTACAACATTTGTTTTGCACATCTTAAATTATTTCTGTAAGTATTTCTTAGAGTAAGAGTTAAAATTTCTAAGTCAATGGGTATGTGAAATTTTTTTTCTGTTTTGGCTTTGCCCCTCTGAAATATATTGTGGCAATGTTCTATGAGAAAGTCCATTTACATACATGACATGTTGGTAGACAAAAAAAAAATTGGAAAAAGTTATATGCATTTTTACATATAAAGCGCAACCCAGGGTTTCCCACTCTTAGGGGCTTTTAAAAGTGGCTGACTTGCCCTGGCCGGTTTGGCTCAGTGATAAGAGTGTTGTCCACGGACCAAAGAGTCCTGGATTCGAGTTCAGCCAAGGGCACATACCTCGGTTGTAGTTCATCCCCAGCCCTGGTTGGGGTTATGCAAGTGGCAACCAATCGATGTGTCTCTCACATCGAAGTCTCTCTCTCTTTCTCTTTTCCTCCCTCTCTCCCTCCATCTCTGTCTGAAGATTAATGTAAAAATATCCTCGGGTGAGGATTAAAAAGAAATAAATAAAAAATGACTGACTTGCCCTGGCCAGTTCAGCTCATTGGTTGGAGCATATGCCTGCAGACTGAAGGGTCGAGGGTTGGATTCCTGTCAAGGGCATGTACCTTGCCTGGCTGGTGTGGCTCAGTAGTTGAGCATTGACCCATGCACCAAGAGGTCACTGGTTCAATTTCCAGTCAGGTTGTGGGCCAGATCCCCAGTGAGGGGCATGCAGGAGGCGGCCAATTGATGTTCTCTCTCATCGGTGTTTCTGTCTCCCTCTCCCTTCATCTCTCTCTCAAAGAAAAAAATGTTTAAAAAGGGGGAGGAGGGATGTACCTTGGTTGCAGGTTTGATTCCTGGCCCTGATTGGGGTTGTGTGGGAGGTAACCAATCGTTGCGTCTCTCTCTCTCTCTCTTTTTTTCTTTAAATCCTCACCTGAGGATATTTTTCCACTTATCTTCAGATAGAATAGAAGGGAAGGAGGAGGCGGGGGAGAGAGAAACATTGATGTGAGAGAGACACATTGACTGGTTGCCTCCCACACTACGTCGGGTGACTGAACTGCAACCAAGGTACCTGCCCTTGACTGGAATCAAACCAATGACTCTCATCCGTGGGCCAATGCTCTAACTGCTGAGCCAAACGGACCAGGGGTAGTGTGTCTCTCTTACATCGATGTTTCTCTCTTTGACTCTCTCCCTCCCCTCTCCTACTCTTTCTTAAATATCAATGGAAAAAATATCCTTGGATATGAATTAACAAAATAAATAAAACAAAATAAAAATGACTGACTTTATTTTTTTTTGACTCCTCAGAAAACCAAACAAACAAAACAACAGATGCTTCTGTTAATAAGAAAGCAGCTGATAGCACATCACAGGTAAGATTTCCCTTCAGTTTCAAATTACAGTTATATTTATAGTCCACAAGAAAATGGATTCCTATCATTATTTTTGAATACAATGAAAATTATTCTGTTCTTTACAAATCTTCAAAGATTTTCAAACAACGTCTCTGTAATATCTGAAAATTGAGTTTCTTTGCATAGTAATTCTCCTAGAGATAATGTTAGTTTACTATATTAACTAAATCTTTGGCTGATATAATTGGCAGCTTAGTTATTTGCCTTCATATACTGTAAAGATTCATTCTGTCAGAGCCAGTGTTGCTCAGTGGTTGACCATCGACCCTTGCATCAGGAGGTTGCCCGTTTGATTCCTGGTCAGGGCACATGCCCAGGTTGTGGGCCCAATCCCCAGTGTGGGGCATGCAGGAAACAGGCAGTCTGTGTTCTCTCTCATCAGTGTTTCTATCTCTCGCTCTTCCTTCCTCTCTCTAAAAATCAATAATGAAAAAAAAAGATTCACTCTTGTAGTTTCCTTCTGCCTCATCTTATTAAGGGTCTCACTGGCTCACCCCACCCCACCACACACACACTCCCTGCACATGTTATAGAGGCAGTTTTTTAGTTTCTTCAAAGCTGATCAGAAACAGCTTTTTAGGAAGAAAATAATTTTGATAGCTTATTAGCACTTCGCTATTCATGGTACTTTTTTGTTTTAAATCTTAATTATCCAGGACTAGAGTTACTACTTTTTTCCTGTATTACCAATGTTATTTCTACATCTTTCACAATATTGTTTTAGGTATAATAGATTTTTAGAAAAGTTTTTGGGTTATTGATAGTTTTATTTTCTGCCCTTCCTCTTAATCATTTCAAGAAACTTATTTTTCCTAGAATAAATCAGCCATGAGTAAATGACATGAATTTTAAAACAAGGACATAATGATCTTTAGTTATGACTTTTGCTTTAAAATGAAGGATTTTTTGTTACCAAAGCTGAATCTACACCGTGGTTTATAGATCAAATTAAAGGTATGAGAAATATTTCAGTCTCAGCTTCCAGTTAAGATGGTGCCATAGGTAAATTTGTACTTGCATCATTCTACAATCACATCAGAATTACAACTAAACTACAGAACAACCATCATTCAGAACTGCCTGAAATCTAGCTGAAGAGAAGTCCTACATCTAAAGATATAAAGAAGAAGCCACATTAAGACTGGTAGGAAGAGTACTGGGCATCCTAACCACAGCAATTAGACATGAAGAAAAAAAATAAAAGAGATCCAAATTGGAAAAGAGGAAATGAAACTGTCATTATTTGCAGATGACATGATCTTGTACTTAGAAAACCCTAAATATTCCATCAAAAATCTAGATTTAATAAACAAATTTGGCAAAGTAGTAGGATACAAAATTAACATCAAGAAATTGACAGCATTCTTACACATCAATAATGAACTCACAGAAAGAGAAACAAACAATCCCATTTACCATCGTGGCAAAAAAAACTAAGATACCTAGGAATAAACTTAACCAAAGATGTAAAGGACCTATTTTCAGAAAACTAAAGGACATTAAAAAAAAAGAAACAGAGGAAGATATAAAAAGGTGGAAGCATAGCCCTGACTGACTTGGCTCAGCAATAGAGCGTCGGCCTGTGGACCAGTGAGTTGCTGGTTTGATTCCGGCCAAGAGCACTTACTTCAGTTGCCATTTGCCCCCAGGGATGTGAAGTACAGCATAAGGAATATAGTCAGTAATACTATTAATAACTATATGGTATCAGATGTGTGTGAGATTTATCAGGATGATTACTTAGTAAATTATATAATATTAATCACTGGGCCTGAAATGAATATAATATTGTATGTCAATTGTAATTGAAAAAAAATTAAAGTAAAAAAAAGTTTTATTTTGTATAAATTTTGGTAGTCTTTGTGTGTGATATTAAAGATCAACATTGTGATTATTTCTGAGGACATTTTGTGAATTTTAGCTATATATATATATTTTTTTTATCCTCACCTGAGGATATTTTTACATTTTTTGTACAGATAGAGTGGGAGGGAGAGAGAGGAAGAGAGAGAGAGAAACATCGACGTGAAGGGACACATCGAGTGGCTGCCACCCGCATGACCAACCAGGGCCGGGGACAAACTGCAACCGAAGTATGTGCCCTTATCGGAAACCGAACCCGGGTCTCTCCGGACCGCAGGCCGACGCTCTAACGGCTGAGCCAAACTGGCCAGGGCTTAGCTATATTTTTAATTAAAAGTATATAGGGTACTTTTTGGAAGATATATGTGGTATATAAAATGTTGATATATTTAGTGGCTTCTAGGTGACATTTATTGGAAGTCTAGGTTTATTTAATAAAGTAAACCTAAGACTAAACCAAATATTCCTAAACATATTTTTTTCCCTCAGTGATCTTTGTTGTTTTGACAAACTAAGTAACATTTTCCGGACAGGAAGATGGACATTGTTATGGCTATGTTTATTAGAAATGATGGTTCTTCTAAAGTTATACTGTCTTATATGATAGTCACTAGTCAAGTGTAGCTTTTCAAATTAAATTTAAATTTAATTTAAATGAAAATTTTGCTTCCTCTGCCACAGTAGCTCCATTTCAAGGCTCAGCGGCCACGCGTGGCTAGTGACTACTCTACTGGAAAACACAGATATAGAACATTTTCATCATTGCAGAAAGTTATATTAGATTACTGAAATGTAGTGTGTATGTAATATTGTAAATATTTAAGTGAAATTAAAATTGATATAAAAGTTGCCATACTTTTGAAATTTAAGAAATTAACAAAATTATATAAAATCCATTTACACTCAACTGCTTATTATATTCTAGAAAATTCAAAATATTAATGTATTATTTCATATTTCACAGGTTTTAGAATCAAATATTTTGCTTTATATTCTGTACTATATAACTGACATGTTTGATGAAACAACTTGTACCAGGCAAAAGTGACTGTATCAGACAACAAAGAGTCTGTACAACCAAATATATTGAGCTCTCAGTGGATATTTTATTTGGCTTAGAGGAAGAGGAATTCAATACCAGTGAATGAAAAACACCACCAAACAGTTTGCTACACAGCTAACCTGCTAAAGAAATGCTTTGTGAAAAACAGCAAAGTTTTGCCTTGGCTGGTTTGGCTCAGTGGTTAGAGTGTCAGCCTGCCCACCAATGAGACCTGGGTTCGATTCAGGCCAAGGGCATGTACCTCTATTGCAGTTCGTTCCTGGCCCTGGTCGTGGTCACTCGGGAGGCTGCCAGTCGATTGTCTCTTTTGCATCTATGTTTCTCTCTCTTTCTTCCCTTCCCTCCTAATCTGACTAAAGATAAATGGAAAAATGTCCTCGGGTAAGGATTAAAAAACAAAGGGCAAAGTTTCAGCTTTGAATGAGTGCCAGTTGTGAATATGAGGAATAATAAAGTTTTATTATATAATGAGAAACGATTATGGAAATAGATATGTGCTGCCAGTTATGAATCAATGCTTTGTTGGCTTGACTTTTCTGGTACAAATATAATTTTTGCCATTGTGCTAAATTAAGTTACCACTTGGTTTTTTTGAAGATTTATTACGAAATTATTGTTTGCTATATGCCACTTACTGGCAAATAGAAAGTAGTGTGAAACAGCCTGTGCTTCTTTAGAATATCACTTTCTGAGTACTTGTGGTCTACTTATTTTTCTATGACAAATCTTACTTAGTTGTACTTCTGAACACTTTAAGGTTAGTAGAAATTAGAAGGAATCTGAATGGCTTGTATGGAAATTGTTGTTTAATCATAACTAGTTTGGAACTTGTTAAATATGTAAAATACTATCTTTTTTGTAGTTATTGATTGAAAATTTCTCTAACGTCCTCCAAATAAGTATCTGCTGACATATTTCACATAGAATAACATATTTCACATAGAATGCATTAGTACATATTTTATTCATATATCTCATTTCATATAATACATCATTAATGTATTTCATATAGTGAAAAAATTATTTACTTATTCAAATTATCAGCATACACTAAAACATTATAGGATTTTTTAAATGCTGCTATCTGTAGTTAGAGAGCTATTTTGAGGGACTCAGGCTCACTCTCCAGTGTGTTGATTTGCTAGAAGGACTCATAAGGCCCACGGCAGGAGACTCACACTTTGCCCAGCGAAAATAACAGGAAAAAGATATGCATCAGGTAGGGTTCAGAGAGGTTGGGCACAGGCTTCTAAATCTTCCCTTGTCCAACATTGCATGGGATGTGCTTTCTCATTATCTTCAGGGACAAGTGCCAAAAGTCTGTGGCCAGAGACGCCTGATTTGAGTCTCAAGGTCTGAGGTATTTTAGAGGCTGGTTACATAGCTATATCTTTCCATATAATCATCCATAACAGTCAAAACGCAGGAGCACAATTGTAAAATCATATGTACATCAACAATCTTGATATTTGTGTAAGTCAGTCTTGACAAACCAGTATGACACAGTCCACTTTTCAAGGTGTACATAAGAAAATTATAAATCATTAATGGAAACTTCCCAAGGGCCACATTCTTGGTAGCTAACCAATTCTTAGTTATGGTGCCAGGTTCCCTGGAAGATCTGCAAAGAGGGAACAACCAGGTCTTCTGTGTTAACTTTCTTCACAATTGTTGACATGTCCTACTATATAACCTTTCATATATGTTCTTTTTGTTTCATTACAAAAAAAAAAAAAAAAAAACCCTACAAAGCCAACATCTTTGCTCTCTTCAAACTTAGTGTTCACTTGAGAGTGGTCATTTTGAAGAATTAGAAAACTATTTTTTTTTTAATCCTCACCCGAGGACATTTTTCCGCTTTTTTTTATCAGGAGGGAAATATAGGAAGAAAGAGAGAGAGAGAGACATCGACGTGAAAGGGACACATCAAGTGGTTGCCACCCGCACGACCTAACCAGGGCGGGGGACAAACTGCAACCAAGGCATGCACCCTCAGTGGGAACCGAACCCGGGTCTCTCTGGACCATAGGCCGATGCTCTAACCGCTAGCCAAACTGTCCAGGACTAGATAACTTTTAATAAAATAGATTTTTAGTATTAAAACCTACTTGACAGCAACTAAGATTGTTTTTGATAGTTTCAAATTGAGAACTTCAGTAATATTTGTAAATGCAGATATAAATGTATGATGTCTCTGATTAGAAAGTTTTCTCAGACATGATGTCAGAAGAAATGTAAAGACACATCTAGTGGCCTAGAAACAGTGAGCTCTAGAGTCAGACAACCTGGCTTCTGTCATTTAGTGGATAGCCTTTGGGCAAGTTATTAACACCTTGCATTTTTCACCTATAAAATGTGACTAATGCCTTACTACCCACTCAGGATTATTGTAAAGATTAAATTTGTTAATGAATACAAAGTATTTAACACAGAGCCCAATAGCAATAGTGCCAGTTATCATCTTATAATTGCTGTTAATAATTATTGATTAATAAAATTACCAATTTTATTTCTCAAGAAGAAAATACAGCCAGGAAACTACCTGTAGTATGTGATAATAGATAATAAATTGGATGTTAGGTTATGACCCATAAAAATATAATTCAGCATATTAGATTTGATTGTAGACCTTCTTGTTCTATTATAGAGTATACATTATAGAAAATATGCATCTTATAATAGAGCATCAAAACATGAAGGCAATAAAATTAATGGGAGAAATAGACAAATAGGCCATTTTATTATTATAAAGTTTCCCTCTTTGTATCTTGTCTAGTATTTACATAGTCACAGCAGCTTTTTTTATGCTTACATTTTTCAGTATATTTGTGTCTTTGTATTTAAAGTGAGTATCTAGGAGAAAAATTATAGTTATTTCTTGATGTCTTATCCCATCTGACAATCCCTATATTTTGATAGGAAATTTTTGTCTATTTACACATAGTATAACTATTGATATGGTTGTATTTGGGTCTGCTGTTTTGTAATTTTTTAAATTTGTTTCATCTAGATTTTGTTTCTATGTGCTTTTTTATTTGCTTTATTTTGTATTAATCTTTTGTTATTTTAACATTTTACCAAATTATTCTGTTCTTTCTATATTTTTCCGTTTCTACTTTTTTTTCCAGAGTAGGAGGGAGGTGGGGAGAGAGAGAAACCGATGTGAGAGAGACACATTGATTGGTTGCCTCCTGCAAATCCCCACCCAGGCTGGGGATGAGCAGCAGCTGAGACACATGGCCTTGATCGGAATCAAGCCCAAGACTCTTTGGTTCATGGGCGTACGCTCTCACTGCTGAGCCAAACCCTCCAGGGCCAGTTTCTACTTTTTAATAGCGAACTCATTATTGTATTTCTTTTAATTCTTTGAACGTATTTTTAACAGCTTTGCAATCTTTGCTAAATTCAACATCTGGCTTCACTTGAAATCATTTTCTGTTAACTATCTTTTGTCTTTGGTTGTATTCTACTAGTCTTTGCATATTTGTCTAGTAAATTTTGTTGTTTTTGAGGCTCCCAAATCCCCTCAGTGAATGTCCTTGGGCCTCCTTGGACTTGAACAATTCTCTTCTGCTCTCTACAGACACTCTCATTGACCCTCACCTACTTACCCCACCTTCCTTCAGGGCCTCCGTTTAAGATAAACACTAAATCTCGGGTCTCTAGAGGGGGCTATCTGTGGTGTGTGGAGCTCCAGGGGTAGTAGTAGTACTGTGCAGGAGGCTTCTAGGTCAGGAAGGCGGTTGTAGTGGATGGAGTTCCAGGTTCGGGGTTTAAGAGTCTAGATTACCGAAAGGGCTCAGGATGGAGGGAAGATAGAGTTCTGGACAAAAGGTCGGTGACGTCCAGATTGGTGGTGGGGAGAGGAGTCAGTTGAAATCCAGAATGGGAGAGTATGGGTTCCTGAGGATTGCCTTGGGATCTGGAACCCCTGGATGCTGGAGTCTGAGCCCGAGGCTACGTTGCAGGGGAGGGGGTAGAATGGCAAGCAGCCAAAGAAGGCGGTACGGGCGGCTAAGGGTGGGCTTTGGGGCCCCTGGGGATCACGCAGCGCGCAGGGGGCGGTCACGCAGAGCGCGGCCACGCAGAGCGCGGGAGGTCACGCAGAGCGCGGGAGGTCACGCAGAGCGCGGGAGGTCTCGCACAGTGCCGAGGCAGTCGCTGGGAGTCGGAGCTTTTTCTAGAGATGGTGAGCGGTTCCAGCTGCTTAGTACGAATCTCCAGTTTACCCAGCTCCTTGGGATGGGAGGTGGAGACGAGCCTAGAGGTCTGAGGCCTGGAGGTCCTGAGGTGTGGGGCCGGGGCCTGGGAGCCACCTCGGGCCTGCGGCGAGTAGAAGCGTACAGAGGCTCATAGGAAATGGAGGCCAGCCAGAGGGCAATGGACACGGGCGCTTGCTGGGGGCCACCCAGGCTGGGCGGCGGAGGTGTCGGGCCAGGGTGCTTGGGGCAGGGACCCACGTTTAGTGGCAAAAAGAGCTGCTTCCCGACATTGAAGTCGCTGAGTGGAAATGAGATGCCACGTGGTAATAGAGGGGCGGGGCTGGTCCCTTGTTCTTTGTGGGGCTCTTCTAGTGATTTTTGATAAATTTAAAACTTAGTAAATTTTGAAAAGTGGACCTTAGACATATGTTGTAGTGACTGGGTTATGCTACATTCTTTGAAGATTTATTAAATATTTTTAGTATTGGATTTTACAGACTTGCAGTGTTAAGTAATGTATAGGAAATCATTGTAAAAGAAAGGTTTGTAATTGTAGTATTTAGAAGTTATATCTTTTGGGATTGGGCTTGAATTTTCTAACTTCAAGAAGTTACTTTCTTTTCTTTTTTTTAATCCTCATCTGAGGACAGTTTTGCATTTATCTTCAGAAAGCAGGAGGGAGAGGAAGGGGGAGAGAGAGAGAGACATCGATGTGAGAGAGAGAGAGACACCGACTGGTCGCCACCCACACGACCCCAACCGGGGCTGGGGACAAACTACAACCGAGGTTCGTGCCCTTAGAGGGAACCGAACCTGGGTCTCTGGTCTGTGGGTGGATGCTCTAACCACTGAGAAAAACTGGCCAGTTATTTATAAAGAAGAAGTTATTTTCTTATTAAGATCTCTTCTATCCCTTTCTGGGGAGTCAGGAAAGCCTCTTTTCTTTTTTCTTCTTCTTTATTAATTTTAGAGAGAGATGGAAACATCAATGAGAGAACATTGATTGGCTGCCTCCTGCATGCTCCCCACTGGGGATTTGGCCCACAACCTGGGCATATGCCCTGACTGGAATTGAACCAGTGACCTCTTGGTGCATGGGTTGATGCTCAACCACTGAGCTATACAGGCCAGGCAGAAGTTATTTTCTTTAACTTTATAAAATTTTAGTTTTGCAGGTGAAAACTTGACTCTAGTTGATCTGCAGTGTAATACTTTAAGTAATTACAATTAGCATTTACAGTCATGTGCCACTTAACAACTGAGATACCTTCCGAGAAGTGTGTCATTAGGGGATTTTGTCATTATGCGAACATCATAGAGTGTGCTTACAAAAACCTAGATGGTGTAGTTTACTCTACGTGGTATGCTATTGCTCCTAGGCTATAAACCTGTACAGCATGCGATTGTACAAAACAACGCAAGAGAAAATGATTCAGTCATTGAACCAGGCTGATGTCTTCATTTCTCCTTAGTATTATTTCATTTATCCTTTATGTCTGCCAAAGTTTCTTTTGCAAAATGAAAGTTTTGTTTTTCAGAGTGGAAAAGCCACAGGCAGTGATTCAAGTGGTGTCATTGATCTCACAATGGATGATGAAGAGAGTGGAACTTCACAAGGTATTTAAATATAAGTAATCATACTAAGTGATGTTTTGATATCATTTTTTTCTCTTAATTCAGTATAATATTCAATGAAAACAGCTCATGCTTGATATATTTATAGTCTTTCTAGAATGAGAATTTTTTAGATTAGAATGAAAATGAAATCTTGAGTGAATATGAACAGGCATGGAGGAAACCAGAGCAATCTCTTTTTCATCTGTTATCTCACATAATCTTTATAATAATAACCCTGTAGAGTTGAGGATGCCCATTTTAGAGTTGAGGATAGATTCATACATAGATCATAGCGTATGAGTCAGTAAGGGAACTGGGAATCCAACCCAGGTCTTCTGACTCTAAGAGTGTGTGTGTGTTTTAATGTAGTTACTTTTAAGTATGTATACATTTAATTTTGGTTATTTGAATTAATTTCCTTTAGTGTTATTTAAGTGAAAATGAAAGTAATGTTAAAAAGCATCCACACCCCAAATCCTCAATATTGTTCTGAGTTTACAATATTTAAAAATAATATTGGATAGATATTAACCAGTGTTCCAAATTCTTCTGCAGTATTAATAGGAAATCTATAAAAAGTTTTATCTTAGTAAGCAAAATTATGTTTTTTTAATATAGACTTCTCTGAGCCTTTTCTCTGCTAATGTATAATGTAATTATCAAAGAACAATTTAAGGTACACAGTATTTCTCAAACTTATTTGACTGAACAAAATAACTTCTTTCACAGACGTATCTGTAAAACTCTGTGATGATAATTATATAATATATGTGGAAGATCTAGTATGATAAGGTGCTAAGTTGATTATTACCTTAAAGAAAGATGTTAAGTTTAAGAAACCTAAACTTTTAAAAAATTATATACTAGAGAGTAAGATAGTTCATTTGGTTTTAAGAAAACAAAATTAGGTAACTAATACAATTCACTATGTGACAGTAAAGTCAGTTACTTTTTTGTATAAAACTGCTATAAAATTAGAATTTTTATGCCATCATTTGTTGGGGTTGAATTCATACCAGTATGACTATTCCTAAAAAGTTTAAAATTATCTGTATTGTTTTTACCATATTTTATTTTTATTTTTGTTAACAAGTCTAAGTATAATGAATTCCTAGAGGACAAAAATAAATACAGGTCATTTTTGAGAGGACTCAGGTAGGGCTATGCTGAATAAAAAAGTAAAGTAAGCATAGTTTATTGAGGTCTTTTTCCATTGCTCTATTTTTGAATGTACCTTAAATTCTTACTGTAAAGTGCCAGCACCCAATGATAAAGCCTTAAATTTTATTTACAGTTTAAAATTTTATTCACAGTTTAGAATTTTATTCGCATAAGAAACTTACTTACATTTTAGAATTTCATAGGACAGAAACCAATGGGAATTATTTTAGAAAGAGGCTTACCCTCTTCATATTACACTGTATTAGTGGTTACCTGTTTTCAAGAGTTTTTTCTGAGATGCAAACATTATTTCATAGGCTATTGTAGACTGTTTTTTTATTTTAAAGACTGAATAATGTAAATAAGCAGCCATCTGTGTTATTAAACAAAATAATCTAAATAATAGAAATTGGAATTCAAGATATCTGGTGGAAATCTCATCGGTTAATAGGTATGAATGTCTTTGATATAGCTACATAGATACATATTAATGAAGGAAGTGAAGTTACTCTACTTAACATGATATCGTATTGAGTTCAGAAAAAGGATTCTTCCATAATAAAACAAACAAAACATAAAACTATATTTCTGTAAATGTGAATTAGAATCTGTGATAGCATCAACAATGAACTATTTAAGGTCTTGACTTGCTTATTAAATTGGCAAATATATGTAATTAAAATAGAAAGAAATTGTACTCTAAGTGTGACTTGGTGGCAGACAAAAGTAAAATTTACCCATAAAGGAAAAACCTGTTTTTCTAATTTTTTCCTATCAATAATTGTAATGTCTCACTTTTAATTAACAGACACTAAAAAGCTAAATCACACTCCTGTGTCAGCCATGGGTTCTTCTCAGCCTGTCTCTCGACCGTTGCAACCTATCCAGCCAGCACCGCCTCTTCAACCATCTGGGGTGCCAACAAGTGGACCATCTCAGACAACAATACACTTACTACCTACAGGTAAATTTATTGAATTACTGAACTGAAGCCTTAGTTTTGTCTACAGTGAAATATGACTATGGAATCAAGTGGAAAGATTGGACAGAGAATTCTCATTGTTATTTTGAAGATAATTGTCTTTTTGAATGCAGTATAACTTAGTTTTCCTGACTGAAGTAGCAACACTTATTTAGAATGGTTATATAGAAGACTTTAAACTATTTGCCTTTGTCATCTGCTACTGTAAACAGCAGAAATGAATATTCTTTCTCTGGAAGGGATGAGTGTAATGATTCATTCTGATGATCACCAAGAAGTTCTAACTAATTAAATAAGAATTTAAAAATAATTCTTAAATTGAACTGGTTTTAACTGGCCTAACACTACCAATAGGAGATATACACTAACATTTTATTTGTAGTTTCAAGAAAGTGTAAATGAGACATTTTCAAGGTGAAGCCTATTATCTCCTAAACTGTTTGGAAGTTGATCAAGACAGTTTTTTCTTCATAAAATAGCTCATTGCTTAGAGATTTATCTTCAAAATACTTACGAAAGCACATTTCTCATTAAGGAAAACATTGAGTTCACATGAAATTGTATCCAGTGGAATTAAAATGGTAGTCATCTATTTTAGATAATTTAGAAGGAAATGTCATTATGCAAACCCATGTGCAGTAAAGATAATAAGACAGGGAATAAAGAGATGAAGAAATCAATATTCATCCTTGTATACTTTCTTACATTACATTTACGGCTCAGTTTTGACAAATGTATATTAACATCACTCAAGGCATTAATGCTGTACCATAGATTAGGAAGAATGTCACAGTAGAGAAAGAAGACATCTGTATTTCAAAGGATATTCTAATGTTTTGAATAAGAGATGGTTTGGCTCACCTGAAGAAAATGTCAGTTACAATGGCCAACCAGTTTCTTTAACTGTGGGAATACAGAGTTACTCTTTTGGATTTATACCCATTTGTAGACTGTCTGGAGGGCCTAAAATTCCACTCTGTCAACAACAATTTAATATCAAGGAGGTAAAATCTGCTCTTTTTTTTTTTAAACCCTCACCCAAGGATACTTTTTTTGCATTTTTATCTTCAGATAGAGTAAGGGGGAGAGAGAGAGAGAAACATCCATGTGAGAGAGACACATCAATTGGTTGTCTCCAGCATGACCCCGACCGGGGCTGGGGACCAAACCACAACCGAGGTACGTGCCCTTGACCGGAATTAAACCCAAGATGCTTTGGTCTGCAGGCCGACGCTCTACTTTTGAGCCAAACTGGCCAGGGTGGTAAAATCTGCTCTTTTAAGTCACTCGCTGGAGTCTAAACGTTTTTTTAATCTTCATGCTTATTATCTAGTCAAATTAAAGAGTGGAAAAGGCATTGGATATTGTCTTTTTGTCTGAAGTTTGTGTTGAAGTAATATTATTAATTCTGATTGGCCCTATCTAGATTGCAAAAGGAGCCCGGCCAGTGTGGCTTAGTGGTTGAGAAACGACCCATGCACCAGAAGGTTGCTGGTTTGATTCCTGGTCAGGGCACATGCCCAGGTTGTGGGCCAAATCCCCAGTGGGGTGATGCAGGAGGCGGCCAATTAGTGTTCTCTCTCATCGATGTTTCTATCTCTTTCTCTCTCTCCCTTCCTCTCTCTCCCTAATATCAATAAAGAAAAAAATTTTAACAAAAAGAAAAAGATTACAAAAGGAGACTCTTTCTCTATTAGAGTTAGTGCACAGTTAATTAACATTTAATACTTTTCATTTAACATAGAATATACTGCATTTCTTATTAGATTTTTCTGCTTTATATTAGCTCCCACTACCGTGAATGTAACACATCGTCCAGCAACTCAGGTGACCACGAGACTTCCTGTACCAAGAGCTCCTGCAAACCAGGTGGTTTATACAACTCTTCCTGCACCACCAACTCAGGCTCCCTTGCGAGGAACTGTTATGCAGGCTCCTGCTGTTCGGCAGGTCAATCCCCAAAATAGTAAGAGACTCTTTTCTTGTATGTGGTCCAAGTTACATGTAGTTCTTAAGCATTTAGTTGGAGTAACTTTTCATTGGCATTAGATTTAGCAAAAAGTATATCTAATATTGTATGAAAACTATTATTAATTCATTTTTCCCCAATTAGGACAGTTAACCAGTAAAACAGGACACGTGTATTATATAACTTGTTTTCTATGTGTTGTCTTTAACTTTAATTATTTATGGCCTGTATAATTATAATGTCCTGTTTGATGTTGGTCTACACTCCACTCTATTAAGAAATACCTTGCCTAATTAAAGTGAGAATGACTAAATGTGACTTAGCCCAAATGATGGAAATAATGGTAATTGATACCCTCTAATGAGAGAGAGTCTTAAAGGTGTGGAAGATAGCTGAGAAATAAGAGAAGGGAAAACGTTAAAGGAAACTTGTTTCCACGTGTAGATGGTCCCTGACTTAAGAGTGTTTTACTTTATGATGTTATGAAAGCGACACATATTCAGCTGAAATCATACTTCAAATTTTGAATTTAAATATTTTCCTGGGCTAGTGTTATTTTCCTGTGATGATAATACTCTCATGTAATTCTGGGCAGCAACAGCAAGACAGCTCTCGGTCACCCATGTGTTCATGTTGGTAAACAACTGATAATCTACAGTGTACTGTGTTGCCAGTGTTCTTTGGATACCGTGTTTTGTGTTTTCACATGCCATCATATCCACAAAATGCCCATCTATGTCTCCTGCTTCTGGTGAGAAGAAGAGGAAGGCAATTATTCTTGAGATGAAACTCAAGATAATTGCCAGACTGTAAGCTTATGCACATTTAAGCTAGACTAAGCTATGATGTTCAGTAAATTAGGTGTATTAAATACATTTTTTGTTTTATCCTCACCCGAGGACATTTTGCATGTATCTTCGGATAGAGCGGGAGGGCGAGATGGAAGAAAATAGAGAGAAAAATCGATGTGAGAGAGACCCATCGAGTGGTTGCCACCCATACCACCCCAACCAGGGCCGGGGACAAACTGCAACCGAGGTACATGCCCTTAGCAGGAACCGAACCCAGGACTCTGCCGTCCATGGGCCAACACTCTAACCGCTGAGCCAAACCAGCCAGGGCTTAAATACATTTTTATAAAAAAATTTTTTCCCCTTTATTGATTTTAGAGAGGAAAGGACGGAGAGAGAGAGAGAGAGAGAGAGAGAGAGAGAGAAACAGAAACAGAGAGAGAGAGAGAAACATCAATGAGAAAGAACATCAATTGGCCGCCTCTTGCATGTCTCCCACTGGGGATCAGGCCCACAACCTGGGCATGTGTCCTGACCGGGAATCAAACTGGCAACCTCTTGATGTGTGGGTCGATGCTCAACAACTGAGCCACACCAGCTGGACATTTTTAACTTATGACGGCTTATTGAGACATAGCCTCATCACAAGTTGAGGAGCATCTGTATATATTTACTATAACACTAAGATAATATTCAGATACATCAGATATCTTTATAAAAAATATATTTAGCCCTGGCCAGTTTGGCTCAGCGGTTAGAGCGTCGGCCTGCGGTCCGGAGAGACGCGGGTTCGGTTCCCACTAAGGGCACGTACTTCGGTTGCAGTTTGTCCCCGGCCCTGGTTGGTCGTGCGGGTGGCAGCCACTCGATGTGTCCCTTTCACGTCGATGTTTCTCTCTCTCTCTCCCTTCCTCTCTCTCCCTCCCACTCTATCTGTACAAAAAATGGAAAAATATCCTCAGGTGAGGATAAAAAATATATATATATATATATGTATATATATATATATATTTAAAGTTTTTAAAAAAGAGTAAAGTGAACCAACAATGAGCTTCCGCCAGGCTAAGTAATAGAGCTTTATCAGTATCCTACAAACCTGTTATATGTTCATCCTTAATTGCATCTCTCTCCCTTTCCATCAGAAGTAACCATCATCTTTACTTTGTGCTTTTCTATATGCTTTCGCCACTTAAATAGGTTTCACTGAAAATGTTTAATTTTTCAAAATTTAATAGCAAGGACAAATTTGCTATTTAAAGGTACCACAATAATGCCATTATTAAGTGATGGCTTCCAGGAGAATATAAACTAAGCAAAGTCTCTGGTTCATAGTTGGATTCAACTTTCTCAAGATTAAGGTGTTCTCTGGGAAATCATTCAAGAGGGAACGTGAACGAGTTCTAGGAAATTGGGCTCACCACAGTCAGAGTACCTGGCAGAAATGTGGTATGGAGCAAGTACTGAATATATGGCAGGACTATGGTTGGGGAAGTAGGTGACTCTAAACTTTCTGCTTCTGTTGCCCCGATGTATGCCAGAACAGTTTTCATTTGGGTAAAGTGAGTATCCTCAGCTGATTAGTAGAGGGTGTAGAGGGAAAGAGAGGAACTTCATAACATAAGGCAGGGATAACTTAGTGGAGTTTTTTTCTGTTCTAGTTAAAAAGATGAGACAACAGAGACCTCTGTGAAGGCACCTTCATTTTTTTCTATCTATAAAGTCACACAGCTCCATTCTGGCCTGTTTGCTTCTATGAAATGTGTTGTACATCAATGTTCCAGTGTTTTAGGATTTTGCTCATAGTCCTTTTGGTAGGGATTCCATTTATTTCTCTCCTGTGCTGGATCTCTTGTTCCTTGTATTTTATGATTTCCTCTTTTATTTTCTCTCCTATATTTGTGGTGCATACACATCCTCCAGTGGCTCCTTAAGAGGTAGATTTTTCTGGGGGGTTGCTTGCATATATAAACACTTCTTTGTCCTCATGCCGGAATGATACTTTGGCTGAGTGTAGTCTTCTAGGTTAGAAGTATATTTTCTTTCTTTTTTTTATCCTCACTCGAGGACTTTTTTTTTTTTTTTTTTGATATTTTGTTCAGATAGAGCAGGAGGGAGAGAGAAAGAGACATCGATGTGAAAGGGACACATCGAGTGGTTGCCACCCACACGACCCAACCAGGGTGCGGGACAAACTGCAACCCAGGTACATGTCCTTAGCGGGAACAGAACCTGGGTCTCTCCAGACAGCAGGTCGACACTCTAACTGCTGAGCCAAACCAGCCAGGGCTTTTCTTTCATATTTTAAAAATATCATTTTAAAGTTGCTACTGCTGCCTGGTCACGTGCTGCTCGCCAGGGGTGTTGCCTCTGAGATCTCCACAGGCTGGGCTTGCAAGAGGATCAACATGCCTTTGGCTAGAGATTTACTACATCTGTTCTTGGAAGAGGAAAAGAAAAAACATAAAAAGAAATGGCTAGTTCAAAGCCCAAATCCTTATTTTATGGATGCAAAATGTCCAGGTTGCTATAAGATTACTATGGCTTTCAGCCATGCTCAGACCGTGGTTCTTTGTGTAGGTTGTTCAACAGTGTTGTGCCAGCTGACAGGAGGAAAGGCTAGACTCACAGAAGGGTGTTTTTTTTAGAAGAAAGCAACACTAATGATCCACACAACTTCCTAAATTTTGTGTTATATCATAGAGAACCTTATTCAGTAAAGTTTTGATAATGAGCCAAAAAATAAAATATATAATTTTACTGACTTCAAGTGTTTAATTAGCATTCTACCAAATTTAGAATAGAAGTCTAATTCATTTTTTCATTTTCTTTTAAAGGTGTCACAGTTCGAGTGCCTCAAGCAGCTACATATGTTGTAAACAATGGACTAGCCCTGGGATCCACAGGGCCTCAGCTCACAGTGCATCATCGTCCACCACAAGTGCACACTGTAAGTGTTGATCTTGGCTTTATAAAATTTTTATGGATTTTTATATTACTTAGCATTTCTTTCTTTAAAGTAGCTATACCAAAAGGAAATGATAGGTCTTTTGTTTTTCCTGCAGAAGTTTACTTAAGAGAATAGATCTTATCATTATGAACAAATATTCCTAGGTATTATGGTCATCAGGGATCATAGAGCTTGTGGTGGCTTACAGTGTACACAAAGAGTCCACAGATGGAGCATGTGAAGTGAAAGAGATCATTTTAATTCATGGTTAAATTAAAAAGAATATTTTTGAATATTAAAAAGCATATTTTAAAAGCCACTTTTTTGCCCTGGCTGGTTTGGCTCAGCGGTTGGAGCATCGGCCTGTAGTCCAGAGAGACCCAGACCCAGGTTCGGTTCCCACTAAGGGCATGTACTTTGGTTGCAATTTGTCCCCGGCCCTGGTTGGGTCGTGCGGGTGGCAACCACTTTATGTGTCCCTTTCACGTCGATGTTTCTCTCTCTCTTCCTTTCTCTCCTTCCCACTCTATCTGAACAAAAAACGAAAAAGTGTCCTCGGATGAGGATAAAAATAATAATAAAAAAAGCCATTTTTTGATGCTGTAACTTTATTCTTTTCCTCAAAACATTATACCAGTTCTCACTGCTTCATTGCCATCACTTTATTTTTTAAAATAATTTGGTGGCATTTAGAATTCATTTGTTCAGAGGTAACAGAAAATCAAAGATTTCTCCTTAGGTATAGCCTCCAAAACAGTCCCATTATCCTGTGATGTACTAATAATAATATTTGGTATGGTATACCATGTAAATGGAAATACTGGCTTTATGAGGCGGGAGGAGATTGAAACATACACTTTCTAGCAAGCAAAACATTGTTTTTTATTACATGTAATAATGGCTAGCATTTGTCAAGTCCTTACTACATGCCAGGCACTGTTAATATACTTAGTCCTCACATGGGAATCCTTTAGGATTCTTGCTCTTATTTTTTTTATGATATGACAGCTAATGCACAGAGAGAGAGGCTGACTAATTATCCCAAGGTCATAGGGCTTATGCTCTTAATAGTTATTACTTTCATTGTCCCACTACAATAAAGACATTAATATTAATGGAACACTTAATGTATACCAGGCACTCTAGTAAGTTCTTTACATGTATTTTAATTTAATCCTCACAATTTTATGAGGATTATTAATTTCTTTTTGATAGAAAAGCGTACTGTATCACAAAGAAACTAAGTGGTTACTCAGTGTCGTTACCGAAGCTAGTGTCAGAGACAGAGCCATTTTACAACTCAGGCTGTTTAATCACAACACCTCCAGAGTGTTTTCACAGTGCTTCAGTCTAGCCCTATTAGGGTATGTGGTAAATTACCATTACTGTTGTTTTCATCTGCAAATAATTTCTTTCACTCATTAGTCTTTCAAAAAATATAAAGCAATAATCTTTTATTTATACCATAGTTCTGCAAATTTGATGATCCACCAGTTTTTTTGTTTGTATCTCACAGGAGGAACATTGTTTTAATTAATTTAAAAAGTATTTTAAAATAGCAATTTTCAAATGTATATGAATGTAGAGAAAATAGTATAACAATTCATATACATACCTGTCGCCCATCTTCTACAATTACTAGTACTTGGCCAATCTTATTTTATCTGTGGTACCAGCCACTTATTTCACTTATTTCCACAACCATGTACACACCAGATTATTTTGAAGCAAATCCCTGATATTGTATTATTTTATCTGTAAAACTTCAGTAAAAACCATTGCAACAACAAAAATAAAACTAACTCAATTCACTTAGTTTTGGGACATGAGCAGATTCAGAATCCTAGAATTTTAAGAACTAGAAGGGATATTACGGGCCATTTAAGCTAATTGTCAAACTTCTTAAATTCCTGTGTTCCCTCCAGTTAAGTTCATTACTTCAGTCATCTTCTCTTAGATTGTTGTATGTTTATTTAATGTTATTTATTAAAATGCTTAAGTCATTTTAGGAAAAGAGACAATTTGAGAGAGCAAATATAGCAACATAGCCAGTATTCAAATAAGTTCTTCTTCTTCTTTTTTTAATGTTTTTATTGATTTTAGAGAGAGAGCAAGGGAGAGAGAGAGAAACATTGATACGAGAGAGAAACATCTATCGGCTGCCTCCCGCACATAACAAGACCGGGGATCAAACCCACAACCTGTGGCCAGGACTTAAATTAGATCTGCTTCAGCTTTCACTGTTTTATCTATTTAAATTAGATTTTCTCCCCTCTGACTTTATATTTATTTTAGCTTTTTAACTGGGATTGTTCATTTTTCAGACGTGTATGAATTCTTTCCACTAGGCATAAGAATTTCCCATTCCTTGAAACTATTCAGCATATCCTTTCAGAGTTCATCCTGTGTGCATGTTTCTGGTACTAAGCTTTGAGAAGGCATGGAAATTAAAAAGATAACATGATAACATCAAACCATCACAGAATTCACTATTTAGTATATGCAAATTATCCATTTAATAAAATACATATTAAAAACTATTTTTGTTAAATGAATTTTCAGTTAAGGAAATCTTGTTTCATGACTTCCAATCTAAAGTTAGTGAGCAGTGATGTTTCACTAGAAAAATAAAGATCACTCATATCCCTATTTCCTGCCTCTCACTTGAATTTTTTTGGAAAAATTATCATTGTAATCTTAAAACCCAGGTATAATAAATAGTAATGTCCAGTGTTAGATCAGTGAATTTGACTTCTTAAGCTTAGTGTTAATGCTTTTTCATTATCTGGCTTTAACCTACCTTTCCAAATTTATCTTTTTTTCTTCACATATCCTATGTCTGAGTAAAAAGTTAACACTGGTTTTTGCCCATAAATCCCCGTGCCTTTGCACATACTTTATCCCTATTTCATTGTCTCATTTAAATGTCACTCTCTTCGTGCAGCCTGACCAAGACATATTATACATTCATCATTAAATGTGCTTATTTATAAGAATATGCTACTGTCTTTATATGGAAAAACAGCTTTAAAAGGAAAGCACAGTCAAATACTCAATTTTCTATGATAGACTGCCACACATATTTTATTTTTAAAGTTATTTTTAAAATGTTTTTATTGATTTCTTTAGAGAAAGGGAGAGGGGGAGAGAGAGAGAGAAACATCAGTTGGTGGCTTTCCATACACACCCCAACTGGGGATTGAACCTGCAACCTGGGTATGTGACCTTTTGGTGCACGGGACAATGCTCAACCAACTGAGCCACGCTATCCAGGGCCACATCGTATTTTTAAATGTTACATTATTTTGAATAAGAAGCTGTAGCATACAGAATTAAATCATAAATTATTTTAAAAGTATGTGATTATTTCAGTTTCTGTCAAGATAGTGTTCCATCAGCAAGGGGTTTTATTTCCCAAGGAAAACTCAATAGGTCTAGAAAGTATAGCAGAGGTTACCTCAGCACCGTTGTTTGGGGCGTGATTGGTTACAAATGACCAAATAAAACTTGCAAAATATAGTCTGATATTTGGTATTTCCCTGTATTCTTGACAAAAAATGATCTCAGTAAGTGACCTCTAAGATGTCTTAGTTCTAGCTCTCAGAAACAGCCCTTTCTGTGGTCATTATAAATCAACATGGCTCTTCTTGGTTAGGAGCCCCCACGCCCTGTGCACCCAGCACCCTTACCAGAAGCCCCACAACCACAGCGTCTGCCCCCAGAAGCTGCCAGCACATCTCTGCCTCAGAAGCCACACTTGAAGTTAGCACGAGTTCAGAGTCAAAATGGCATTGTACTGTCATGGAGTGTCCTGGAGGTGGATCGAACCTGTGCCACTGTTGACAGCTACCATCTCTATGCTTACCATGAGGAACCCAGTGCCACTGTACCCTCACAATGGAAAAAGATTGGAGAGGTAAAGGCACTTCCTTTGCCTATGGCATGCACTCTCACCCAGTTTGTATCTGGCAGCAAATACTACTTTGCAGTACGGGCCAAGGATATTTATGGACGTTTTGGACCTTTCTGCGATCCTCAGTCAACGGATGTGATTTCTTCTTCCCAGAGCAGTTAAACCTTGGAGCCTTTATTGATTCCTCTTTTAAAAGTTCCACTTTTTGGTCTTGTTTTAATCTTGTGCATGATACCCATTGTAAAATCTACATTGTGCAAGATTTCTTGGACAATTATGTATATACACTACATTTGTTTATAATCAGAGAGTAAAATAAACTCAGCCCATAAAGCAAGAACCTTTTCCTGAACAATTCAAGCTTCAAGGTTTTGAAATGTAAATGTGCACCTTCCTTTTAGTCTTGAGGCTGGGGAATATGTGTGGATGTTTGTGTGGGTTTTTTTCCTCCTATTTATATGTTTATTGCAGTGGAATCTCCTGTTTTCACTCTCAAGTTTACCTCTCTTCTAGTATAAAGTAGAGCAAAGCATCTGAGGTATGTAACTGGCATGATTCTGTTCTACGTGATCTGTAGGTGCATAGTTAAAAGATTTAAACAGAATCTAAACAAGATCCAAAGGAAAAAATAAAAAGCAAAATGGTTAAAGAGTTTAAAATAGGTTAATTTCTACAAGAAAAGGATCTGTTTCTCTCTCTCTCTTTTTGGTCTCTTCTGGGTTGTTAATTAGGCGAAAACATCTCAATGGCCCCTCCCTTTTTAAATCTTACTTTTACATTTATTTTGTGCCTTAAAGATTAACTGCAAAAATAAACATGGCCATTCATCCATTGTTGTTTACTCTTCCCTTTCAGCCTTTAAACACTTCATTTTTCCTTTATCTCCACAAAATATAGCACACTCCCTAAAGTAAATTTTAAACCAAGGCTTTTATTTATATTCTCATCAGTGGCATTACTACATTTAACTGCAAACATTTTACTTGCTATTTTCTTCTAAGAATATAGATGTTTTAATTTTTGGTCACTATTTAAATTAGCTTTAAGTAAAGTGGACCAAGAGAAGACCGCATTGTGTAAGAAAATTTTCCTTCAAACATATTTCAATATCTGTGTTCACACTGTGTTAGAAATTATGAAAGCAGTCCTAGTTTACTGTGTCACCCAAAGCATAATATTCTTTCAAAGGAAATAGTCAAATTCACAAAATACAGTGAGTTGAAATATTAAAGGGAAAGAACTATTATCTCTTTGTTCTCGTATCATTTTTTTCTTTTGTTAACAACTTTTAATTTAGTTTTGATGGTGCCATGTTTTGTCTAATTTACCCTATGTCAGCTTTGGATAGAATTTAAAGTATATCCTTTGGGGTCATTTTATGTAACAATTAGATATAGCTTACTGTGCATCTCTGTTCCTCTTCAAAGTTCATCAGATTCAGCTTAGGTCCTGCATTTTCAATATGAGTGCCAGCTCTATTGGTATCAGGTAATTGTTTGAGTGTAGATAGTTTAGGACAGGACTGCTTGGGGGTACTTTTGGGGTTGACAGTGTGGTTGGGAATATTTTGAAAGGAATTCACAGAGTGTGTGTCATAATTTATCAAGTCATCTTTCCTTACCAAATTTGAGTTCATATTTCTACCTTCTCAAATTATACCTCCTGGAATTATAGGAGGAAACTCTCCCTACCATTAATGCTGCTTTGTTCGCAACATTGATGGCTTGTAACCAGAAGCATTCTAGTTGTAAAGTCTTTAAAGACTTTCACCGGTCAGTGTATGTCATGTTAGGTGTGAAATTTGATCCTGAAGAAAGCCTACAGACTGCCAAACTTAAATGCTCCCAGACATTCACTTTCAGAAAATAAGACCACAATGAGAATTAAAGAATCAAATTTGCCAACCATCTAGGTAGAGATTACTCATTCTAGGACTAATGACAATGGTAAAGAAGTTGCCAATGTCATGCCAATGAAAATTTCAAAAGGGAGATTTCTTCTTAGATGTATATCAACACTTATCTGTATCTACGTGTGTATATGTTTCTACCTGCAATGGATGCAACGTTAATTCTGTGTTCAAGATCATTCCTGTATACAGAATAGAAAGCTCATGTTCAAAATTGTTCTTTATTGGCCGGTTTTATGGTCACGTGATAACAATTTGCTTACCTAGCCTTGAGAAAATTACCTTGGTGAATGTTTTTATTTTTAGTAATCCTTTTTTAAAATGCTTTTATAGCATTATATAATCATGTGAAGAGAGCCCAGTAGAATGAAAATATTTCGATATTTTAGCCTTATATTGTTTTCTGTCAAAAAAAGTCTCAAATAGTAATCCTAAGAATAAATTTACTGCAGCAAAATAACTTTTTATTCCAGATTGTGAAAGGAAGGTGCAAAGAAATATTGTAACTATTTGAGGGAAAAGCATATTACAGAATTGTCTCCTCAAATTAGCCTTCCATGGGATTTATGGGCAACAGTTATATTGGATGAATGGAAAGGTGCTAGGCTAGAACTCTTTTATTTTGGGCAGGTTTTTTTTTCCTCACTGGAGGACATTCTTGTATCTATCTTCAGATAGAGCAGGAGGGAGAGAGGTGGAGAGAGAGAGAAACATCAACGTGAGAGAGACACATCGAGTGGTTGCCACCCACACGACCCCAACCAGGTCCAGGGACAAATCGCCACCAAGGTATGTGCCCTTAGTGGGAACTGAACCCAGGACTCTGGTCCACAGGCCGAAGCTCCTACTGCTGAACCAAATCGGCCAGGGCTATTTAGGGTAGGTTTTAATGTAGATGAGCACTTTTTGTTTCTTTTGGGAGAGAGAATGGAAGACTCAACTAGAACCTTTTGTAGTAATTCACACCCTGTGATACCTTTTTTATTTCAAGGTACCTTTTCACAGAGAATTACAAATAAGCTTGTTTATCCCATTTTGGGAATGCAAGTTTACTAAAATTTTAGCCCGACATTACTTGTGTTAAATATTGCTTTGTTGAAAATCCTGGAAATTTCAACACAAAATGTAGAATGTGTGGCTTTTAAAGGTAACAGTGATGTTTGTTACTCCTTACTTTGTGCTTTGTTAGAGTAATTTTCACCCTATTTGAAGTAAGCCTCTTTTCAAAATTGTTATTGCCAGTAAATTTATAAGTTACATGCAAAGATAACATCTGTTGTTAAAAGTTAACTTAATGAGGTAACTAGATCCTCTGTTTCTCTAGATTCACTTTAAAATATGCGGAATACTGGGTGCTGTTTAACACAGTAGAAATCAATGAGAAAAGGGAAGAGGAGAGCTTTCGTCCTTAAAGTATTTATTGGGGTACCATTTGCCTCACAGTGAGGTGTTCCCCACTCTCCCCACCCCCAATATCAGATAAAGGAAAGGTTTATTTGCAAAACAAGTCATAGAGCAAGGAGCTTAGAATCTTAGGTACATCTCTCTGCAGAATTCCTTAGGCAGGCTGTACCATACAGTTCTCTTACTGTATTGCATAAGTGTTAACTAAGTTTTTGTTGTTCTCCTTTGCTTATATTTTCTAAATTATTATTTATGCAACAAGGTGAGTGTTAATATTGCATGACAATGCATTTATCTTGTTCCACGAATTTTCCAGTACTGTACAAGATTAGCAAAATAATGCCTGTGGTATCGTCCTTTCTCACTTTTATACACTGATCTTAGCACTGTAGAGTACTTGCAGAGATCTTCCGAATCCGACTTTTCTTCTTGGGTTATTTCAGTATCTTATGATTCATTTGTTATTTTATCATTGACCACTTGTTGTCATTGGCCTGTTTTATTCTAATTTCCAGAAAAATCATGTCTCAGTATTAGATTATTACAAATAACTTTATCTAAAACCAATGTATGATTCTCCCTTCCTTACTGGGCAAATAGTGCCCCCCCCCCTTTTTTTACACAAAGAAGATTAGAACAATTCTTACGAGGTGTTTTGTTAGTGTGGCAGACTTACGTAATTCCTAAAGTCTATTCCTCTTGAGCCATCCAGTGGGGAGGAATAGGATAATACAGTTTTATCGTGCTAAATAAGTTTTTTTTTGTTTTGTTTTGTAGAGTCAGCTAAATACCGATCATTTATATTTAAATAATGTCCTTTTTAAAAAAAAAGTTTTGTTTGTAAATAAGGTAACGGGGCAATCAAACAACTTCTGGGATCCTGGCTTTAGTATTTCATCAGCCATTTTAAAGTTAAATATAAAAATAAATCCTTTTTAGGAAACTTGCATTCTGATTTTTCTTTATTGCAATTGAAAGTGTAAATAATAAGACAATGTTAAGACCTTCCTAATGTCTAGTATAAACTGGGCTATAGCAAGTTGCCCTATTTTTATTAGGTTTTAAAGGTTTTTGTGTTTTTTTTCTTTTCTTTTCTAAATGTACAGTAGACTGGTGTCTGTATAAGTGTTAATTGTAGTGGGATTTGTCCAGCAAGCCTGAAATTTATACTTTGAAATAAACTACTGGGTTTTTAACATTCTGAGTACTCTGATTCATTCTGATTATTCTTGCCCCTTGTGTTTCTTTCTTTTGAAAGTCTCTCACCTTGTTGTTAAGGATCACTTATCAGACTGTACAATATGGTTTATTTAACCTATTTGACGATACCACAGCACTAAAACCACACATTATTCTCCAACTTTGAAAGAAAAGTTATGCAAAGTTGCTCCCAGATTAAATATGCTGCTTTTTAGTAATGGGAGACAGCGTTAAGGTTTGCTATATTGTGTGCCTCGCCTGTACCAAAAGAGACTCATTTAATACCCATTAATGCCCAGAAAAATCACATTGCATTTCTATTAGAGGTTCCTTCGAAAACACAGCTCCACCTTTCCCTAGGGCTTTCTCATTTAGTATATCCAGCCAGGGGAATGAAGAGGAAAGAGCATGGAGGAGTACAAGTTCTTAGGGGCCAGGCCTGAAATTGGCACTCACCTCAGATTCCATTGACAAGAACTAGTCATGTACCTAAGGGAACCTGGGATTTGTGGTCTGTGTGGCCAGGCATTAAAAAATACGGGTTTTGATGAGGGAGGGAGCAGTTTCTGCCATACCCTCTTTTATGTAAGTTTGTATGGTGAAGCCTGGTATTGTTAATCGTATATAATTCTACAGTGCTTGCTACAGTGAATGCTTGTTAACTACAAAACCAACAGTGGGGAATGATAGGAACAGACTAAATGTAATACATTTTATTAAGACTAATTTTGAATGGAAAAACATAGCTAAAATAGTGCCTTTGGTATCTTATTTCCAGCCTTCCATTTCTTCATCTCCCTCTTCATTTTATGTCAGTTTTCAAAACTGGTCTCATGGTAATAAAATCAAAGTTGTAGGCCTCTGGCATGCCCATATGGAGAGTTTTGTTGAACCGCTTCCAGTGAAAAACAGGAAGGCCACCTTGTACCGTGGGACCACTAATGGCATCTGCTGTGTATTCTAATGCTAGGTATATATCTGCCACCTGGAAAGAGAGAAGAAAGGGTCATTTTAGGAAAACCACTTGGAAAAAACTTGACTACATTTCTATTTTTTCTTTTTCTTCTCTTTTTTCAAAATCACATTATCCCTTTTTAAACAAAATCTCCCAA